TATTCCATTTATCACACAGCAGAGGTTTTTAGGGTCATGTGGAACTTATGTGCTGGCCCAAAGATCCATCTGTGGTCCAATGTGTTTACTAGGCACTTCCAGGAAAGAAAATTCCCACTGGAACTTAGATTCCAGAGTTATAGCTGTTGAATCAAATGAGATGTCCAGAACACAGCCTCATCCTGTTTCATTGAATAAGTTTCTTTTGGTACAGATCAAGGATGTGGACAAGTTCATGCAACCACTGGACCCTTGCCTCTCCTGGCTTATAAAAGCCAGCAAGGGTGGAAGCCTCCCTGGGGGAGCTAATGGTCCTATGCTGCCTGAGGCCACTCCTGAAGAAATTTTTCCTCAGCTTGGAAGATATTAATAATGTTAGGCCTGTAGCAAGTGCTCCATTTCTGGGCAAGGTTCTGGAGTGGGCAGTTGCTAGCCAACTCCAGGCACTCTTGCATGAGACTGATTACCTGGATCCGTTTTATTTGAGGTTCAGGTTGGATTTTGGCATGGAAACAGCTTTTGTTGACCTATGCTGGGAGACAGTGCTTATGACCCTGTTGATACTGCTGGACCTCTCAGTGGCTTTCAATAACATTGACCATGGTATTCCTTCTGTGGCAACTCACTGAGCTGAGAGTGGTGAGGAGTAATTCTGCTCCTGCTTTGAGGGCCATCTCTGGAAAGTGATGCTTGGCAAATATTATTTGACCCCATGGCTTCTCCAGCATGAAGTTCCTCAGGGATCTGTCTGACATGCTATTTAGCATCTACATAAACCACAGGGTGGAATAATCCGGGTTTTGCAATACGTCGCTATCGCTGGTGGCACACAGCTCTGCTTATCCTTTTCACTCTCATAAGGTGAGGCTGTGAATGTGCTAAACTGGAGCCTAAACTGGAGGACTGGGTGGGAGCTAACAAGCTAAAGCTCAATCTTGATAAAAGTGAGATGCTGTTGGTGGGTGCGTCCTCTGAGCAGATATAAGTCGGTCAAACCATTTTGGATGCTTTGCACTCCCCTTGAAGGAGGAGGTTTGTAGCTTGGAGGTTCTCCTTGGTGTGTCTTTGACACTCAAGGCTCAGGCTGCCTCAGTGGCATGGAATGAGTGCCTTCTACCAGCCTTCTTTTTACATAGCCCACCTATGCTCCTATCAGGCACATCCTGGCTTCAGTAATGTAAACTCTGCTAATCTCTACAGTAGATTACTGTAATGTAATCTATGTAGACTGTTTGGAAATTGCAGCTCTTGCAAAATGAGCAGCAGGCAGATTGGTAATTGGGACCCATCAGCCTGAACATCTAAGTCCAGCTCTGGCCCATGTGCATTCACTACCTGTCTACTTCCAGGCCCAATTCAAGGTGCTGGTCTTAGGACCACAATATTTGTTGGGACACCTGTTCCAACTGCAACCTACCTGAGCACTATGCTCAACTTCTGGGACCTTCCTCTGTCTGCCAATTCCAAGGAAGGTTCAGAGGGCAGCAACAAGGAGGGCTTTCTCTGTGGTGCCCCTCCCATTTTTAGTGTGACCTCCCCACCAAGGCCCAGCTTTTTGGTTCAAAATTAAAATAGCTCTCCATGCTGAGGCTTTTAAAGAAAATACTGGGCTCTCCAAGGGCTTGCGGGAATTACCATCCCACTTTTTTAAAAACAGGGTTATCTTTTATGCATGATTTGTGTTTTTTGCCATTCTTAATTTTTTGTTTAAAATTCGCATATTTTTTAAGTTTTTGTTGTATTTTACTCTATTGTTTTTACGAACCATTTTAAATCATGTGATTTCAGCTCATGAATGAGCACTCTGACTTGTTCAGTGGCTCAGGGCCTTAAAAAATGCTTCATTAATTTGTCTAATCCTCCACCCACCCCAAAAGCCATTCAAGTTGGCAGCAATTGCTACCTCACAGTAGCAAATTCAACAATTTGTCCATGCACCGTGTGCCTAAGTACTTCCTTTGCTATTCCAGGTGATCTTTTCAATTCTCATTTGCCTTGCTACTGAAAGTGCATAGCCATCATGATTAGTAGTCACTGATAACATTAACCTTCATGAATTTGCCTAATCAGTCCCACTTTAAAGCTACCTCAGATGGTAACATCACCATGTCTTCTAACTGCAAATTTTATCGTTCCAAAATTTCAACCTTTGTACAGAGTATATAATGTGGAAGTATTTTCTCATTCTTTCTGACTTAGGATTTGATTATATATGCCATAGAATGTTGCTGTTAAAAATCCCCATGACCACAAGCTTAGTGGCTCTTGTTTTCTGCCCCTAAGTACATCTTACAAAAAGGGATTGGAAAGCCCTTCTTAGATAGGACTAATTTTGGTCCACCAGGTTAGCTCTAGCCTCAGATGGTCGAAACCTCAGGAGTTAGATCACTAAAGGTTACCTATTAGCAGGTGTTCAATGGCTCTGAAATGTCTTTATTCTGCTGCAGGCAGCAACACTAGCCAGTCTTATGCGGTGGTGAGTGAATAGAACTGGGGGAATGAACATGAAGACCAACCTCCTTGAGATTTTGTAACTTGCTGTCCCCTCAGGAGGTAGAGGAAACATGTGCAAACTAGTTTGTTGCAGTCACATTGAGACTTTGGGGGAGTCAGGCGTTAGACTGCGTGATGGACTGAGACTCAGGCGATCCAGGTTCTACTCCCCAGGAAGCTTAGGGTGAAGGACAGCACAGACTGTCAGCCTGCCTGCCCTCACAGCGTTGTGAGAGTCACATGGAAAGGAGAGGATCATGCAAAGGACCCAGGGAGCCTTGCAGGTGGAAAAAGGGTGAGCTAGACATGCAATAATACATCAGAAATAATACATCCACCACTGTTGCTGCACCTATACCTGCCATTCTGGAACAAAAGAAAAGCACTCATCTCTGTGCATGGATCACATGTTTTAAAATGTTAGAGAGACCCAGGACACAATTGTTTGGAAAGAAATTAACAAAAATATCAATCTTATTCATATGGCAGAATTATTCATATCTTACAGACGGATAAATTAGGCATTGACAAAAAATTGTATTGCAAGACATCTTCCTGTAACTATAACATAAAAAAATAAAGAAAAAATCCAATTTCTGTAAAATCTTGTATTCTCCAACAAGTATATTTTCTGAGTCACCCAAGTTTTAATAAGAATTTGCAGCCTATTTGTAAATTGCCCACTTTTCAGGTGTGCTTCCTGAAATGTCAGTGAGAAGTAACTGAAAATCTCTTTTCCAAATATTTAGTCCCAAACTATGAGACAGACTGTAACGGTATTATTGGAGTTCTGCAGAATCTCTAAAAAAATAAATTTAGGATTTCTGGCTTTATTAAGCCTGTTATTTATTCTTAGCTTATGGTACAATCTTATACATACATACTTGGGAGTCCCACTGAATTCAGCAGCACTTATTTCTCAGTTGCTCTCAACAGAGAGCTTCAGCTATTGGCCAGTATAGAAATAAAATAATTATAATAGGCTTGTTCTGTTAGTGCAGGGGTGGAAGATGTACGCTCCTGCAGTGAATGGACCACACCTACAATCAGCCTCCACTTGCACAGCCAGCAGTGAAGGATGATGGGAATTGCAGTCCAACCATATCTGGAAGGCAACATATTCTTTAACCCTGTGTTTGCATGTGTCTCTAGCCTATGCTTTGTTAAATTCATTTATTAACTTTTATGTCCACCAGTGCCAGAGCACTCTGGGTGGTTCACCAAATAAATTGAATGTATTGTCAGTGATCACAGTTATCAGGAAAACACCACTAAATCCCACTAGCTTTTGGTTTAGCATGGTAAAAGCATAATTGTATCGACTCATTGGGGCCAACTCAAAGAAACACTGAGAACAGTTATGGTAACTTTTCACACCTCCTGGTGTCCTCCATCTTCTCAACTGCTTAGCAAGCCTGTTCCCTCTCCTCAAAGGGGGATGAGAAAACTGGGCTGGCTCTTCTGGGCGGCACATGGAGCCTGACCTCTATTACAGGTAGGGAAGCTCAGCCCTGGGGTTCCAATGCAACTCTCGAACTTCCCAAATACCTCCCCAGCACCTATCATTTGGCAAGCTCTTGGATACACTCCCTCATCCTCCATTCTAAAAGATGAGAATGCCTCTTCCAAGGCTTCGTTCCCGGAAGGAAAAGCCGTAGAATACCATGTGCTGGTAGTCGATTTTCATATTTTCCCTTTGCCTCTTTTACTTTTCACCCAACATATCATGGAATGTGGCCCTGGAGTGCTTCTCTGAAGTGGAATTTGGCCCTCTGATAGAAAGTGATTCCCCACTTCTCCTCCACTCCACAAATCTCCCATGCTTAGGGCACCCCTGGAATGTTGGGCATGGAAGCACCTCCTCCTCCCATACCACCATCCTTTGAATGGAAGAGCTGTCCTGCTCCATTGGACTGAAAGGTACAGGAGTCTCTTTCCCACAGGCTGATGAGGTGCACTCTGGAAGTGCACAAGCGTGGCACGAGGGCAACAGCCTCCCCTCACTGTTGCTCCTCAGCAACCGGAGTTCAGGGTCATAGAAAGAGGCCTGGAAGCTCCAGAGAGCTCTCATGGTTCAGATCTTATCTCATAAATGTCTGTCAACATCAGCATTTTATAACTGCTGAAGCAGCTCCTGGATAGTTCATGTGACAGCTTCCATGTAGTGTCAGTGCTGGGCCTCATTCAGAAAGTGTACACTTCTGGGTTTCATTCGTGGGGCCGACTTCATTCTTCAATCAAATGCTGATTAGAATTGTGCGCTGATAGTGCAGAACAGCAGATTAAGCCAGCTGTCAGTGTTTAGCTCCAGCTCATGCTCCGGGACTGACGGAACACTTTTCCACCAAATATTCGAGGGAGTGTTTCACAGTAGTGTTGTCATGCCAAATTGAGTTCTCTCCAGCAGTCCAAGATATCTGGAAGTTTCTTATGGCCAGGTGCTTTAAACAGCAGCTTTAAAAAGAAAATTAAAGCCTGTTACCTATGGGAAAAGGAGAACGGCTTCATCCAGAATTCTTTTAATGCAAGAGTGGGGGACCACAGCTGTGGTCCTCCAGCTGGGGACCACATTCACATATATGCCCATGGAAATAGGATCTTTGGGCAAAGGGTTAAGGCTTCCCTCCCCTCCCAATGTTTCTGATTGATATAGCAGTGCTGCTATTGTCTGAGTGCTTCTGTTTTTCTTCAGGGCCTCTATCTCACTAGACCACCAACCAAGGCTATCAGCTCAAGGTAATGGTGCCCACCTAATAAGACCCTTTATAAATATTCCTTTATTGGAACAGCAATGAATGTGTCCTAGCACCTGAATGCCCACTGTCACACAGCTTTCAAATGTGCCAAATCAATGTTCACAGCACCCATATACTCGTATAAGAAGCACCATCTGTATCTTGCATGATATAATTTGTGTTACAGTCCACATACACTATATTTTGCTTTTGAAATAGGAAGAGACATTAATGGAAAGGCCAAGGAAGAAATGCAATTTCTGGAGTGATTAGCAGTGTAAAGAACAGCTTTCATAATCTGGACCAAGCTAAGATGGTTCTTTTCTTCAAACGTTTGAAGAAAATTTCACTTTGGAAGTTCCAAGTGTACTTTACTTAAGCAGTATTACTGCATTGGGAAAAAATTTCTCCTTACCATTGGCATTTGCTGCTTCTTCATTTTCACAAACACCTGTAAAAAGAAAGCAGAATACAAGAAGTTTCAAAGGATACATTATATTATACCAGAAGTGTAGTGTGAATGCAAGGAGGACCATTTTATATGTAAAGCTGACAATTAGGACCTCAGAACCCAAATGATTAATTGTATAGTCAAATTTACAAGCCGAGTAGAATAAAGAAATGAGAATTAGTTCAAAAGAATATGAAATTAAAGAGAGGAAGCTAATCTCCAGGAAGCTACTTGATATACTATGCTCCAAATCTGGATGGAGGCTGTATAATGCTAAGCAAGCCTTTTTCCTTCTGGAAACATTTGTAGCAAAATAAAATTGTCACTCACATTAAAATGAATTACCTCATTTTGTGATTTTTTGACAAAACATCCTATATTACCAGGTTCATCAATAATATTAACAGGTTCACATGCAAATTTGCATGCATGTGTAAACAAGGACATTTGGTAACAGACTACAATAGTGGTTATTTGTTGAGTTCTTGCATCCAACTGTCTCAGATTTACATGCTAACACAAAATGAATGATCCAAAGACGTAAGAGTCATTTTAAAAAACAAAGTGAACAAGCTGTCTGCAAAACCTACATGGGATCTTGGGTCATCTTTCTGCCCTTTCATCCACGAGGAAATGAGGCTAGGAATTAATGGATAAACATGTTGTGAAAAACATCATGGATTAATTAGATGGAGTGGCTTTGGACTCTCTTAGCGAATACTCCTCTTGTGCTTTTCAAATTGACTACGCATTGTTGGAGCATATTTGGTTATGACTTCTCTTAATGAAAAAATAACATTGAAAAAAATTGGCTTAAGCACGATTTTTTGGAGCCAGCACTACTTCCTTACATGTAAACAACATCAATCTGCATGCATAAATGCATGAAGAGCTTCAGGATTGCTTTGCCAAGGTGACATTATTGGTCAAACAAATCCCTTTTCCCTTAAGATACTAGAAGTTTAATGGCTGCTGCCAAACCAGAAGGGCCTTGGATTCTTCCAAGAAATAGTTCCTAAGCTTTCTGAGACAGCTGTGCTCAGATTGCACCAACATGTTCTTATCAAGACATTTGTTGCATCTGCCTTTCATTGCACAGCGGCGACAGACATTTTTTCCACTAAAAAGGGAGATAGGCCAGTTGGGCTTGCACTGACACGACAACCCACAGTGGGTGGTCAGGCTGAATCTGGAGCTTTTCCCACAGGATGGCTTATTTTTAGAAACAAGCCACGCCAGGGGCCCATGGCTTGTTGCGGGGTTCTTCTTACTCCAGGATAGATGCTTGTGTCCTCCAAACTTGGGGAACTGATGCTGTGAGTTGCAGCAATTGGTTACAGAGCTACTTGGCAAAAATGGGGGGAAAAAAAGAAAAAGGGTCATGTCAGTTGCTTTCGGAGACCTCATCCATGACTGCCCTTTCACCAATGCCAGAACAACACTTTGACAGGGTTGTCACTTGCTCCTCAGCCTCTTTTATTTTAAATTTGTTTCAGATGCCTTAAAATATGCAGCTTGGATCAGATGATAGCAGCAGCAGCAGCATTCAGTTTTTGCATGTAGACACTTATGGCTGTTTGATTTGGGTAGCCCTATCCAGTCAATTAATGGCAGAAAGTGAAGAGGAACTAAAGAGCCTCTTGTTGCGGGTGAAGGAGGGGAGCGCAAAAGTTGGCTTTAAACTCAACATTAAGAAAACTAAGATCATGGCATCCGGTCCTATCACTTCCTGGCAAATAGATGGGAAGGAAATGGAGGTAGTGACAGATTTTATTTTCCTGGGTTCCAAGATCACCGCAGATGGGGACTGCAGCCAAGAAATTAAAAGACGATTGCTCCTGGGGAGGAAAGCTATGGCAAATCCAGACAGCATACTAAAAAGCAGAGACATCCAGTCAATGTCCCTGTATATGTCAGCAGTCAAAGGGAACAAGAAAATGGAGTAGGCCACATGCAAGGCAATTGACAAAATGAAGTTGTCTATTGGCTAATTTGCAGGCAGCTGTGAAGGAGCTTGGGAGAAATAACAGTAGGATGACAGGGGCACCCATTAGCCTAAATCAAAAACACTGAAAATGTGGGGTGGGATGCCAGAGGAATAAATGCATCAGAAGCGGGGGGGGGGGGGCGGCAGACAGTGTCTCCTCCGTGGTGATATGATCCTCTTCATTTAAGCATTGAATGGTTACTTCATAGCATCCTAAGCCTTTCACTGCTTCCATGATTGTCCAGCTACTCCAGAAAAACTTTAATTCTCCTTGTTTGCAGCTCCTTTTTGAAACAGTTACTGCTGAGCTTAACATGGATATGGCTGCAGGACTTGGAAGAAGGATGGGGAGAACAAGCCAATTAAGTGGCAAGCCAGTTCATCTGTTGGTCCTCTATTTTTTGCACTGTGACTCTCGTCAGCCCAGGGCAGCATAGCCAGTGGGGCAGGATGGTGGCACACGTGGGCTAAAACCTGAAGGCCCACAGGGTGCTCATCCCGCCTCTAAACTCCAAATGACTTTTACAGGATGAAGTCTGAAAGTATCGTCTGCAGCATGAACACTGCTGCTGACTAAAAATAAGGGCCTCTTATGTGGCTGGCCGTCTACTTGATTTGTCACATACTTGGACAAACTGTGTTGATCACAGTTTAGAGACAGTGCTTTATCTGTTGCTGCTGCTGCCGCTAGGCGCCATTCGATTACCCTCCAAAAAGTCCTGTCTTGGCCCATGACAGGCTTGCTCAGCTCTTTTAAATTCAAGGCTGTGGCTTCATCTGCTGTCATATCAAGGACTAATTTTTAAGAGTATTCTTACATATTACAACTTCCTGAGCAAGTTAAGAAGGTTCAGGACTGTGGCAGACTTCCTGCACAGAAGCTGGACTCTGCAAGAAACTTCCTTGGAACTTCCTGCTCACCCTCTACCTAGTTTTCCATGTGTCTGTTGTCCTGAGTGTGAGGGAATTGGGGGAGGTCATGCCAGGATTCCTTCCATCTTTCCAGACATGCATGCAAAGAAGCATCCAGGTGGCAAAACAAGTGGAAAGCTCCATGATGCTAACGGTGCCTACAAATATGCCTAAAAACAGGAGTCACGATGGTGTTGTTCCTGTAGTCGACCAACAGAATGACCAGTGCATCTACTCACACGCCATGTGAAGCTTCCCATTCAATTTTTGTATGTTTATTCAGCTCAGTGTCTGTTAATTGCCTTTCCTGGCATTCCCCAGAATTGCCCTTCATTTTTTTCAGGGCATTTTTAGGCTTGGTCCTTAAGCAGACAAACCATGATAAGGCAGCCTGCTCTTGATGAAGGCTGAAGCCACCTGGGAGTTGAGGGAAGAGGGAGCCTTTTCTTCTGGAAACAAGATTTGAAAACCGCCTCCCTCTTCAGAGGTGGGGTTGAATCCCAGATCGGTCCTCGACTTGAGAAGGGAATGCTGCACACTCTCCCAGTGGCCTCCTCTGCAGTGTGGGTGTGTACTTCTAAGGTGGGAGTTGTAAGTCACAGAAAGAGGTTCTCTCTTGAGGTGCGAGTATCCAGATGAAGAAATGGCCCAGGCAGCACCCTGGGGTGCTCATCCAAGGCAAGCTATTGGGGTGGTTTATACTAAAAACCAGTTGCAGCTCTGCCTCAGAAATGCCACACCAACCACTTAGTAATCTAGGTATGGGCCACTGCCCCCCAACTCCTGCACAGGATTGGAAAGCACACACACTGTTTACTTACCCACATATGCACTTGGAAAAGAAGAATTCCTTTTAACCAACCAGCTGCATAGAATGAAGACGAGGGCAACTGCTATAAGTGCGACAGCACCCAAAACTATAAATGTGTTATGTTGGTCGAGATGGATAGGGCTGCTTCTAGAAGCGTTCAGGTCAACTAAATAGGGTCAAAGAGGGAGAAAAGCATAAGAAGATGTCAACACTGTGGCTCAGCCCAAAGAACAAGAACACCATGGTTGAGAGTGCAGGTAACACAAATTGTATAGTTTGGTATTTTTATGCTTTCAACATGCTTGAAAATTCATTTTTACAAACAGGTAGTAACATTACATTTAGGATCAAAAGTTAGAAAAATGGACCATTGTTGTGCAAACCACACAAAAGAAGAGTAACATTAGTCATTATTTATGCATTTATTAAACTTGTATTCTGCACTAATAGTCCTGCAGGAGTGTTTCCATAAGCAAATCAGCATTCAAAAGTCCCACCCACCCTGCTCCTTTCCCAAAAGGTCAGTTAGATTAAAAATTCCTCTCAAAACGTCTAAGTTTTGAAGCTGACTCATTATACATTTTGAATTCTCTTCAGAAAAGAAAACACAAACAGGTGATAGACTAATATATGACTAGGTCCATATGCCCAAGTGACCATAAGAGAAAGTATTCCTGGCCACTGCTTCCCTTTAAGGCCCACATGAATGCCTAAATCAGGGTGAAATGCAGGAAGTGTGCAGTTTGAATTGACTCAGGATATTGAGGCAGCCACGACAGCACAAGTAAAGACATTCACAAAAGAGGACTTCCAGAGCTGCTTCAGAAAGTGGCAAGAACAATGGGGCACGTCTGTTTGAAGTGAGAGGGAGTATTTTGAGGGTGGTTAATGGCAATGTGTCTTTTACTGTAATTATTTTTTTATTTAAACATTCAACGCATTTTTGGATCACCTCTCATATATAACTTTGAACATAATTTGTTTCAGGAGGCCATACTTGCTATTTAAGTTTATCAAAATGGGTATTGTTTAAGGTCTGGGAATGGATTGATTCACTTTCCATTATTTCTAATGGGGAAACTGAAGCAGAGTTCAAATGATCAGAGTTCAAACAGCCTCCTGAAACAAATTAATGCTGAAGTACGAGGCACCACTGTAGTTGGGCAAGGAAACTTCGGAGACTCAAACACAGAGACAGGTAATTTTAGGATTGCTGACTTTAGCTTGTGCAACTTAATATATTTTACAGGAAGAGAAATTTAGCAAGAACAACTATTTTAGCCAAGAACAACTACTTCTATCACCACAACACTGTGACCTCACGTTCCCAAGATGCAATGAAAGTCAAAGCACAAGGGGGACAGCGAACTGAATTTTGCACTTCAACCTAACTAAATTACTTGGCTGCAAACTTCAAAAGACATGTTATGAAAATTTAAAAGTTTTCACTGAAACTTTAAAAGTATCCTTCCAGGTCTTGCAGAAGATTGCAAGATTTCAGTCTAGCTTACACATTATGAAAAGCCAAGATTTTAGAATCTGTTTATTTTAATAGAACAAACCTGCTTTTGGAGATCTCACTGAATATAGACCAGAGCTCATGAAGATAAAATATGGGCATTAACTTACTGGTGGTAGTTGTACTTTGGTTCATCCACTTATTTTCAATTTTACACCCTAAGATTGTGTTGGTAGATGCTTCGATTGTCAATGTGCTGTTAATGCTGAACTTCCCATCAGGCTCTTCAGTAACATTTTCTGTTCCATTCAAGAAGCTGTTGTCCGTTTGATTTATCCAATGAAGCTTTTGTTGTGGATATCCATGGCTGGAGTGGCAAAAGAAGGTCATTTCTTTTCCAGACTGCACCGGGCCCACTAACTTTGGTTTGCTGTAGCTTGCTGGAAGAAAAAAGAGTGGCATGCTTTTACAATTGCACATTAACATTGTCACTTTGGTGAAGTTGTGGTACAGAAGCTGGAGAGGAAGAATTTCAAAACATGATGATATGGCAAGTATTGCTCTTCACCAATGGTTTTGCGCACCGCCCTGGGCACACGTGGCGGCCTTGGGTCCTGACTGCAGAGGTCTGTTTCACAAAAGCAGCAAACTAGCATAGCATGTTTGCAGTCTAGCCTAGTCAGTGGGAAGCAAAGAGTCACCCCCTCAAAGACGGTAAATGGAGACCATCTCAAGTGGTCTGATGTTGTCTCCTTCCATGCAACTTGTCTGCCACTGCAGCTCTCCATGATCAGGGGAAGTGGACAGGTTGGCAGCAGTAGCCTCTCTCTCTCTCTCTCTCTCTCTCTCTCTCTCTCTCTCTCTCTCTCTCGCATGTGCAAATTGAAGAAAGGGACTGGACTGTCTTCTCTGAGTTCAAACAATGTCCCCTTTAAAAATACCATTTTGCTTCTCATGAATTCAGAAGCAAGCAAGCATACTTTTGAACATGGCTTTTCCCCTGCCATTCTCCAGCATCAAAGGAATGCAAAAGAACTTTGCAAACATTGAGCATAGGATGTCCTCTCAAGCCAGTGACCAGCAATGTATGAAAAGCTACTCTGAAAGGAAGATCCTTACCTGCAACTTGGAGGGTGATGTCTGCACTGTGAATGACTTCATATCTTCCACTTTTATTTCTCTGTACTACACACTCATAAGTGAGCTCATCCTTAGGACTGAGGTTTAGCAGTTTCAGAGTAAAGTCATCCTCCTTCCGTTGCGGATCAGCTTGAGTCCTATTTCTGAACTGAGCACACTGGTGTTCCCTCATATCTTGATTAGGGAAGTAAGCATCTACGAAGCATTTTGTCTCTCCCTTTTTTTGCCATTGTATTCGAAATTGATTTAAGATGAATGGTTCTCCAGTATACTGGCATTTAAGTTCAGCAGCGTTTCCTATTATGCCATGGACTATGTGTTCATTAGCTATGAAGACAGAGAGAGGAAACATAACTCAAACATACACTGTTTCTTATAATCTAGTTTTACTACATTTCCTTTCATTTCCACTGAACTTGATGTTAATGTTTCTGCCTTTTATCTACACCGGAACTCTGGCACCTAATAGAACGGAGAATCCTGACTTCTCTGAAGGCAGCAGGACTGATGCAGATATCAAGATAGATATCAAGCTCTGTGTGATCCACTCACAAAACAACGGTAAGCAATGTTTTTTCTAAAGCAGCACAACACTTTAGATTTAAAACTAGTCTTACACGCCTCCTTCCAGCATGTTCTTTGGGTGGCCTTAAGATTATGATGGTGCATGGTGGAGTCAAGAGTCACCTGAAATGTGATTCCATTGACCCAATTCCCCGCCCCCTGCCCCCAGTTGTAAATGGGCAGTCAAGGTGATCTCACTGCTACCACAAGGGAGTTCTTCAGCACATGGGTTGAGTGGCACCAAACAGGTTAATGATGCTATTTTCCCTCGAAAGGCACAGTCAGCCCCGCTAGAATGATCCAGTGCTAAAGCGGGCAGAGGAGTACAGACAAAAAGGGGCTGATTTGTGTGTGGATTTAATGCAGTATTTTGGACCCCGTCACTTCACATTCGTGCTGGTTCAAGTCTGTTGCTTGCACTCATGCAGATAATTAGGTGGCTCTTGTTGACGAACTGCCTCAAAGAGGCGGCTGAATGTGCAGCTGACAGGGTAGCCAGTACAGGAATGTACAACCTGCAGGCCTTTGTGAACATAGCAAGATGCCGGATTTGGAATAAGCTATTGGTCTATCTAGCCCGATGTGGTTGACGTCCACGGCCAGCAGCTCTCCAGGCATTCAGGCGGGATTTTTTTTGGCCCTACCTTGAGTTGCAGGGGCACGAATTTGGGGCCTTCTGCATGTAGAAAGGTGCTCCACCACTGCATAGCTCAGTGGTATGCTCCTCTAGGGCAGGAAATTTCTCACTAGGGAAATTTCTTCCCACTGATATGCAAGTCAGACCAGACACCTGGAAGAATTTCCTCATTGTCAGAGCAGTTTGAAAACAGAAACTATTACCTGAGGAAGTTGTGGGTTCTCCCTCACTGGAGACATTCAGAAAGCATCTGGACAGTCATCTGAGAGGGATGGTGTAACTTAGTGTCCTGCACTAGCAGGGGGTTGGGCCCGATGACCTTTTGGCCCCTTCCAATTCTACCATCTATGATTCTATGTCTTACTCCAGTCCGGCCAAGAGTCTTCAGGTTAATTCCAAGAGATAACTAAATGCACTCTGGGGTTTAGTTTAGATTTAGACCTGAGCCTTATTTCCACAGCATATTTGTTCATGATGCTCTGCATTATAACTGGGCAGAAGGTTCTTATCTGGATGTACTGGCAGAATCCTAGGTGATTTGCAGTAGACAAGAACAATACAATGATTCCTCTTTGCCCTCAATTATATTGCTCAAATGAAGAAATGTGGTGTTATCAGTAGTAGATTTTTCTGTGTAAGGACTGTGAGTTTTGCTGAATTCTTGCACTCAAGGCAAATTCTAAAGCCCTATGCAGGTATTCATCTGAGCATATGTGGGGCTGTAACAGGAAGGGAGATGCTAGCACACATTTGGGCCTCCCGACATCCATGTGAGACCTTCGTACATTGGATGCAAAGGTCTGAAGATGGCCTCCATCAAGCCTTTGGCTGACCGTGATTATAAAGCTCCTACCCTATCAGGGATTCCAATCATGTCCGGTCTTTAGACCTCTATGCTCAAGGAAACCGGGGATTATGAGGATATTGTGGGCAGGACTTGCATACATGCTACTTTACATCTACATGTATGCATGCAAATACGTGCACAGACTTTAAGCATAAGAGTTTGCATCCAGCTATGGTTGGTGGCTCTCAGGGGTCTAACAAAACCAAAACTGATCCCATGAGCCTGAAGGCGTCCTATCTCTGCTTTACAGAGTGAAGTAGACAGACGTTTTAAAAGCACTTAGGTACACCCTGTCTTGATACACGGTTTCAGTTCAGTTCATGCAGACATTTTAATGGAAAGGAGAATGTGGCTTGGTTCTTAATGGAGAACACCGACATAACATCTACTATTCTCTATCTCTGGCATTCTCTTGCTGATCATCTTCAGTCTATGTCTGTCATCTCTTTAAAATCTAAGGGGAAGACTAATTCTGTTTAAAGGTCTTGGCAAGACTCATTTCTAAGACCTGAGTTAATTCAACCAGAACCATATTTTCCATGCCACAAGAAGCTGAACAAGTATAGAATTTCCCTGCAGGAAGATCTGGTGTCACAGCTGTTGACCTGGTGCCTGCAGTGCACATGTTGAAGACATAATGCTGATTTTAGGTGGGCGGGGGGGAAATTGGCCACTCAGACTGCTTGACAATATCTAAAAAGGCATTTCTACCTGTTTTTGTTTACATTGCTGGAAGTTTAAAATAAGGACAGAAAAGCTTTAATCATTCTTGACATCTTATTTAAGACCTTGCTTTAAGTGTAAATATAACAAATAATGCAGTCATAGCTTACCAATTCTCTGAATCCAAATAAACAAGACCATGAGTCCAAGTCTAAAGCAAAATAGAAAGAGATGGTAAGGCAGTGTCTACATGAGCAGTGACCAAGTACATATTATAAAGAATTTGTAAAACATGACTGGAGAACCTGAAAAAATGTATAATGCAGTGATTGATACTTCTATAGTCTTTTCCTCTGTATTCCTCAGAGCTACTCAAGAATTGTTTCAAAAATCAATATACAACAACCCCATAAATAGGCAAACCAATATTTCCACTTGCATATTACTTATGAGAAGAGGACTAAATCTAAGAAATTGTGGCTTGCTTCAGGCTAAGATTGGCTAAGATTTGAATTCTGTGAGCTTACACCCTTAAGGACCCAATCATAAGTATGTTCAGACAGAAAAAGCATCCTATAGCAGGCAGAATTCCCCAGGTAGCCTTCTAGCTGCCTTCTTTTTTGTGCTTTTATATCTTCAGATTTAGATTTATTTACATAATTTGTAAGTTGGGGATGGAAGCACTGCCCCTTAAAAATGCATGTAAAATAATATTTCAATAATAAAGTGAATTACAAATTTCATTCAAAGTTAGCCTTTTTAGATCATAATGGGAATGATGATGATATATCCTTAAATCACTTCTAGAAAATGTGTTGTCTCATTTGCTGATACACAAGTTGCTGAATGACCAGATGCTGTGTTATCTCAGGGATTTTGGGGCAGGAAGGGGAGGTGACACCAACACTGAAAGTAGCTACAAATTGGGAGACTCACAGAAACAGCAGATGTGCATGTTATCTCTCCACCACACAGGAGGATGGCTCTGGGCGCGTCTTTACCTTAGCAAGCATGCTATGAACTGGGCCCACCTGCTATTTCCCATTCTAGTCACATCACCGTATGAGGTATAAAAGTGCCTCTCAACTCTTCTTGAGCATGGAGCCCTTTCACTGTGTAAGGCTGTACAAAGGCTGACCTTGCTGGCATCTCCTGCATCAAAGCTAAGTTCTGGAGCAAGGCAACTTCCAGCTGCAGAGTACTCTTGCTTTTGGCTCGTCTGCTTGGGTTGCTTATTGAGCAAGTACTTAAATGGAATGAAAGGATCTGTTAAAAGAGTGGCCGATTAGTTTCAACAAAGATATGCAATGCACTCCCATTCCTTTTGGCTTCTTTGAAGTTGTCAGGTCACAGTGATGTAGTGGCAGCTGCCACAACTAAAAGAATTACCAAATGTTTTCAATGGGTACTCTTAGCTACATTAAGGACCCTTGAAAACAAATGAAAACACCAGAAACAACAACAGGTCCATAAATAATAAATACCAAAGCATTCTTGTGGAAGATTCTATCACAAGATGTCTGCAACTTGAGCCATCTCTTGGAATTTCAGTTGTGTATGTTGTGGTCAGCTTGGCTGATCTTTTCCATATTACTGCAAACATCTGCATTAAGAGTGCCTTGGACTGAAGATTCAAGTGTGGGGAATGTATTTACCAGACTGGGCTTCTCAACCAGTACAATGCTTTGTAGCTATGGTTTGCTACCAAATTTTGCCAAGGCAGCAACCCTTTCTTTGCATTTATTTTAATTTTTTGAGGGTGCCTGGCTCATCTCTCCATCCAGTGCAGGGTAGAGAGTTTAGACTCATGGTGGGCAACGGACAACTCTAATCCTCATTCCCAGGATACTGTATGCAAACAGTACCATCCCCAACCTGCCTTCCTCCAAATGGGTTTGACTGCAACAGCCATCATCCCTAGGGAGGACATCAAACTGGGAAACACTGCTATATGCTGCCAGAGACTTGAGTAAGTCAGTTCTCTTCCTCCAACCCTGATTTTCCTTTTGTCCCTTCCCACCTGTGAACATGCTCCAAATATGCCATTGGCCCTAGAAGTCACCAAGAATAACCCATTTCTGCCCCCTCTCACTTGTTGTTGTTGTTTTTAGTCGCGAAGCCGCGTCCGACCCATCGCTACCTCATGGACAACATTCCTTCAGGGCCTTCCTGTCCTCCACCATCCCCTGGAGTCCACTCAAGCTCACGCCGACTGCTTCAGTGACTCCATCCAGCCACCTCATCCTCTGCCGTCCCCTTCTTCTTTTGCCATCTATTGTTCCCAACATTAGGCTCTTCTCCAGGGAGTCCTTCCTTCTCATTAGGTGGCCAAAGGATTTGAGTTTCATCTTCAGGATCTGGCCTTCTAAAGAGCAGTCAGGGTTGATTAGGACTGACTGGTTTGATCGCCTTGCAGTCCAGGGGACTCGCAGGAGTCTCCTCCAGCACCACAATTCAAAGGCCTCAAATCTTCAGCGCTCAGCCTTTCTTATGGTCCAGTTTGCACAGCCATACATTGCAATTGGAAAAACCATAGCCTTGACTATATGCACTTTTGTTGGCAGGGTGATGTCTCTGCTTTTTAGTATGCTGTCTAGATTTGCCATAGCTTTCCTCCCCAGGAGCAAGCGTCTTTTAATTTCTTGGCTGCAGTCCCCATCTGCGGTGATCTTGGAGCCCAGGAAAATAAAATCTGTCACTACCTCCATTTCTTCCCCATCTATTTGCCAGGAAGTGAGAGGACTGGTTGCCATGATCTCACTTTTTAAATTAATTTATGTACATCTTGGAGTCCTGAATATGCAGAAGGAGCCCAATGTACTTTCATTGGGCTGCTGACATTTTCTGCTGCCAACAAATTAACCAGAGGACCACTAGGTTTAGTATCAGAAAGGGTGATGAGCCTGGCAAATTGCCCAACACTGCAACTAGAACCAACTTGTTAATGAAGCAAGGTGCTTTGGCTTTAATAAGAAGCTGAAGGCAGTTGAAGAGCTCCCAAATAACCTAACATTTAGAGTGCTTCTTTGCTAAGTAAAGACACCAAGCAGCCAAATGCCTTTTATTGCCCTGGATTCTTCATGAGCACATGCAAGATTTTCAGAGGTCCTTTATGGTCTCATGGACCCAATACAACTCTCTGGAAGGGTGCCTACGGGTTGATGAGCCACACTGTGTAAAGCTATGCAGGATGTGCTCTTGGCCACAGAAGGGTCTTAAGTAGTCTAAGACTATTCAATACATCAGTGGAAACTTCAAATAGAGTATCTAAAAGCAGAATTCTCTATATCTATTCAAAGGATGTTCCATTAAATAGGCCCCATTGTTGAACAGTTTATATAGCTTTTTGCCTATCTTTAGGCATTTTCAATTCTATATATTAATAGCAAACATTTTCTGATTGTAGCAAAAACCAGCAGCACCTACACACAAGCGAGGTGTAGAAGAAATGGAGAAAATAATTGTTATTTCGAGGAGCTGGTGGTTCACAGCAACTGCTCCTTTTCATGTCTAGACTTCCTGTGGGACCTGTTGGTTGTGTTCAGCGGTTTGTTTCTGGGATCCCCAGCAACTGTAGCACTGCACGCTTATGATCTTGCTTTGATGTGGATTGCTGCAATTAGCGTGATTTACTTTCTTCTGCTTTAATTATATCAGTTTATTCTAGCTTAATAAGATATTTAGCCTTTACTTAATTGTATGTTAGGAATCCTAAAATGAACGGCTGACTGTTGACAATGCAAGAGATATCAGCCGACTTAGGGAAACCCCAAGGTTTACAAGAGTTAAATACATGTGTTTTGAAAAAACCCCTAAGCTCCACAAGCTTGAATGTGCTCAGCAACTACAGGATGCTGACTGACGGTTTGGCAGGTGGTGAGAACCGAAATCGAAGAGAGAGGGCTGCAGAATGATCTATCCCAGGAAAGGGAAGGGTAGACTCAACCGTGAACATAACAGAATAATAAAACTGAGCATTTTATTGCTGTTTCCACTTGAAAGAGTAGGATTTGTATGTAATATTCCAGATGATCCTGGAAAAAACATGGTCTAGTATATCTCGTACTGTAAGTTATTGTAATCATAAAGCTTTGCAGATAATGGTCTGCTGCATCAGATGCAGGCAGTCATACAAGGTGTACAAGTAGGGTGAAGTACCCAAGAACTACAATGCAAGGACCTGAAGAATTACATTGCTGGATCATATCAAGATCCACCTAGCCCAGCTTTCCCCAGCCTTCTGCCTTCCAGACATGGTTGGACGGTAACACCCAGAATTCCCGGTCAATGGCCCTGCTGGATGGCAATTCTGGAAGTTATGGTCCAAATGCCTCTGAAGGCCACGAGGTTGGGGAAAGCTGACCTAGCAATGACCAGCAGTAAGCAGGGCACTATGGAGGTTATGTCCTGATTGACTCCCTCATCACAGGTGTAGTGCCTCTGACTTCTACATCATATACATTTAAAAAAGAAGGTAAGGATACAATCCTCCAAACTTAGAGGCTTAGAGCCTTCCTGTGCAGAGTGGAAGGAGTAGCAGAGGTCATCTTCATCTCCCACTCTTCCCATCTAGATGAGCCATTTTGGACGGGGAGGACAGGGGACCAGAGATGATTCCAGATAGCTCATAACCTATCTTCTTCAGTCTCCTCCCCTTCCTGTGTACAGAATGTCCCCTTTACTCATTTGAGGTTGCTCTCTCAGCCTTGGAGAGCAGCTGGCACATGGTTTCCCTGCTGGCCAGAAGGGAGGTGGTCAGAACACCAGAACTCTCCAGCTCCAGAGTCAGAGAGCTACTACTGACCTGCTAATCCAAACTACCCTATGGATGTCAGACACAGTTTAATTGACATATCCAACTAATCAACACAAATATGTGTTCAAAAGTGGATTCTGCCCCCCCCCCCGCCCCTGAGCCTTTGGTAATCAGAGGTATGCAGATTTTGGAATTCTAGCTAGTAACCATTGCTCAATCTATTGACTATCACTCACCAATGCAGGCCTGCATATTGCACCTCTTGTCACCCCAACCAACAAGCAACGGTCCACCAATTATGCACTGTGGCTTTCTGGATGCTCAACAACCCTCCTGTTTTGGCAATACATTACCAAAGGCAGTATAACAGCAAGGCCTGCTGTGATCAGAAGATTTAAAAGGCTTCATCTCTCACTGGAATTATCCAGGTTCTGACCCTATTCCAGTATTATTTCTGTAGCTATGCAAGCTCCAGAATCTGCAGTCTTCCCACACTGAGCAGTAAGGTGGCCTTCACGTATACATGGGAAGAACCCTGCATGTACCTAGGAACTTCACTTTACCAGGTTTCATGGTTACATGGAGACTTCTTTTCACAGACAGACAGACAGACAGACAGAGAAGCCCCTTTCAAGTTTCACTTGTTCAACATATAAGCACTGAGGTGGAGAGGGGATGTTGGGAACACAGCCCCACATCACTCCCCGCACTCAACCTAGCACCTTCCAGACACCCAGGACTCAACTCCCACTATCTCCGGCCGGCAAGATGGGTCTTCAGACCCACACATCTGGGTGCCACAGTGGGGGAGGCCACCCTACATATGCAGCTATCTCCTGCTGAGGCATAATGTCTGTAAAAATCTGATGTCTGGATTCCACAGGTCAAGCAACTCGGCACAATGCATCTTGAAGTTGACTAGCAGTTAACAAACTGCTAGGATAGAAAGCTGAGCCTGATGGCAAAATGTGAGCACTTGGTGAAAGCCTGGACTAGATCAGAAGGTGATTATCAAAGAACAATAATATATTACTCTGAGTCAACAAACACACAGCGACAGACCCTGCAGCTTGTAGGTATGCACCTGTAATCAGATACACTTAAGAGCTGCAAGAGCACCAAAGGAACAACATCTTACATGCTGGCCCTAAGAACATGTAGATGCATCTAAGATCTGCTGTAGGACACTTGCTAGGACAATTACAGGACATTTTTTTTAAAATCTGCCAGGAATAACATTTGAGTTATAGCTGTTGAATCTGGCAAGATTTCCAGATAACAGCCTAGATTATTTTTATGGAATTAGTTTCAGTTGACAAAGTGCTTGAACAACTTCATGCAATTCCCTCTGCATTTTGCCCTCCTTGGCTAATAAAGACAAGCGGAGAGGGAACAATTGCCTGGGCCAGGGAAGTGATGAATGCACCTCTGCAAATGGGGATGGTCCCAAGCCCCCTGAAAGAGGTAGTGGCGAGACCCAAAAATCTTTCCATGGACCCAGAAGATCCTAGCAACTTTATTGTGCTTTGATTATTCCGAACTGCCAAGAGAGCTTCAGCTATCAAGTGGTACAGAAATAAAATAAACTCCAACCCCCAGGTGAGAACAATTGTAATGGTTTTATATTATAGGGAAAAAGAAGACTCTCCATGTGGAGACAGTGAACACAACTGCTATGAATGAACGTACATGAATTCTTTGGGCTGCATGCTCTATTAAAAGAATGCCCATCACTTTCCATACAAAAGGCACCCCTTCTTTATTCTTAGATAACAGATGTTTTAACAGCACAATCCTATGCATTTTCATCAGTAGTAAGTCTCCCTGAATTTAGTAGGTCACTATTTAACCCCCACAGTAAGAGCACAACAATTTGCAGGCCTTTGGAATTTAGTGAAAATCTGAAAGATCAAAGCAGATGTCACTTTAAATCTGTATTTAAGCAGTGATGCCTCTCTCTTCCCTTTTTCTATTATATTGCATGTGGCCACCATGCATCCTTCAACAGCTTTATCTGCACCTGCCAATGCTCCCTAGCTCCTATTTAAAAAATAAAAATAATTCTTACAGGCTTCTAGCTGCATCCATCTTCTTTTACTATGAATGCCTCCAGGCTACAGGTGGTGCTCGGGAAAATTCTTCGGGGTCAGGACAGCGATTCCAGCGCACAAACAGCCTCTCAAACGGTCAGATGTGCCAAAGGCACAGAAAGTGTAGTGCTTACTCCCCAAACTACAGCAAGCAATGGGGAGCCACCCACAGCCGCCTCGTAAGGAGGGAAGGGCGGGTTAAGGCCCTTGTAGCAGCCACTCTATGTCCCCAAGTCCTGGTCAGGGCACCTGGGGCAGCAGGTGGCTCGGAGGCTGGATACGGGCTAGAAGCAATGGCTGTTTTGGCTCCGATGACTCCAACGTGCTGTAGAACCGCATGGTTAAGAGCATCTATGCATAGCTATCGGCATGATCCGAGCACTGATTGTCTCGTGTCATCCCAGCTTCAAAACTTTATACGAGCAAACTCGTCAAGTCTCGCAGCCGAAGCGAGAAACCAACTAGACAGGAAGGCTCCTTCGAAGAAATAGCCGAGGCAGCGCGCGACTGGGAGGCGGGGACGGGGCGGCGTCAGGGCAGGAGCACAGCAGCCCTCGGGAGGGCGACACCCCCGGCGCGGCCCCACTCACCTCTGGGGGGCCATCCTGGCCGCGGCCGCATCGGGGAGGGAGCGCAGCTGGGCAGGCGAGGGCTCCCCTTGCCCGGTCGGGGCGCCGAGCGCGAATGCCACCCGGGGAAGCGAGGGCGCCGCGCCCGGCCGCCCCTGCGCAGCCACACGCCTCCGCAGGGGCGCGGCTCGCCCTCGGAATTCCCAGCCCGCCAGCCCGCGGCCGACTAGCGCCGAGGCTTCGCACCGCCCCCCGCAACACAAGGAGGAAGTTGGAGCAGAGCCTATCCGTGTCCCCGCAGAAATCTCCTTCGCGAACCAAACGCCGACCGTCAGCAGCTGGCGGTGTGATGTCACGTGCCGCTTCGCGCGCATGGGCGCCTGTTCGCGCTGCGCCGGGTTTGCTTAGCGTGGGGGGCGCGCTTCTTTTGGTAAGCAACGTTGCGATCCTACAGGTGTCCGCTCGGACGCGCCCCCCCCCCCCCGAGTTCAATGGAGCTTACTCTCAGGTAACTGCATATAGAATGGCAGACTAAGGCGACAACCCGCCCCACCGCTCTTACTTGGAGTAAGTTTGAATTCAAGGGAACTTCTTTTGAGACATAGGATCGCCCTGTAGCTGATTTGTATCTCGTCTTTCAGCAGCAGAAGCAGCAAAACTTTTCCCAGGGCGACTTTATAAATATATGAAAACATTAAAAGAAAATAGACTTTAAAACACACACACACACACCGCTTCGTTCACAGGTTTTCCGGAATGGCAACGGCTCGGTGGTCAGCAGCTCCCTGTTCCCGCGATCGGGAGCGCATGTAGTGGCAGGTGGAGCGAATTCCTCTCTCGATGTCTCTGCTGGAACACGAAACCTGCCAAGAAGGAAGTGATACCAACTTCAATGCGGCCATAAACGTGTGGGCTTTATTTAGACAGCTTTTTCAGGTCTCCACGTTTGTTTTGAAAGTTAGAGCTTAGCTGCGATGCAATCACAGGGTTCCTCTGTTCGTGACGCAAATATTTCAGAAAACAGTAAGCTTTCAGGTAAGCTAGACACTCTTTGTGTTACAAGAAAATTGACTACCCAAAGCCCAAGCAGCTATTTCCAAAAGGAAAGGATCTATGAACTTTCCCCTTCCAAGAAGGGCATCACTAAAGGACAAAGCAGCCTGGCCCCAGTTCCAGACCAGAGGAGAAGGAAACGGTGCCTGCTTCCAGCCAGAGGGACATGCAAGTGCGGGAGGGCAGCTGTTCTTACATTATTGAGATCAACAGCACTGTGAACTTTTTCGACCAACATTGGGGTATTGAATTTTATAAGTCATTTGTTTCTATAGCCATTTCTTGTGATTTTCTTATTTTAAAAAAAGGAAAAAGTATTTTCCACTTCCTCAACAACTTACAAAGTTGTGTCTCGTTTCAGTTCCCTCTTTCAATTCCTATTTAGTTTTTGGTTTTTTTCTCCTTGTTTTTCCTGTATTATGTATGGTTCTTACAGCGTTCGCTTAGTTACTTTAATATACAACCAATGGACATCATTAACCATGGGCATGCTAAATGTTAGCTTGTCTGTCTTAACAGATTCCGTCTTTCCAGTATGATGGTGAAGAAATATGGATTTAGAATATTAATAACCAAGCAAAAGGAAGCTTACATTCCCCTTTTCTGTGAACATTTGATTCCCTGAATAACCTGAGGTGCTCCATGGGCAAGGAACATTCCTTCCCAGGGGCTGAGAACAAAAGACATGCATTTTATATGGTTTCTCCTCCCACTCTTGGGAGTCCCTTGGACTGGAAGGAGATGAAATCAATCAATCCTAGAGGAAATCACCCCTTACTGCTTACTGGAAGGACAGATGCTGAAGCTAAAGTTCAAATACTTTGGCTGCCTAATGAGAAGAGAGGAAACATTGGAGAAGACCCTGATGGTGAGAAGGACTGAAGGCAAAAGGAGGAGGGGATGGCAGAAGATTAGATGGTTGGATAGTGTCATCCAAGCAAAAAGCATGTGTTTGAGTGGGTTCCAGGAGGCAGTGGAGGACAGGGGGACTTGGCATGTTTTGGTCCATGGGGTCAGGAAGAGTTGGACATGACTTAACCACTGAAGAACAGCAACAGCTCCTCCCACTATTGCAGAGCCTATCAGGATGCACCCTGGGAACGTTCCTGGGTGAAGTAAGCTGTATTCTCACTGCAAAGGCAGGCTTCTCATTGCGGAAAGCAATTTCAAGACCCTTCTCTCTGGTGTTCGTAAGGTGAAAGCCACAAGGTCTTGGCATGCTTTGAAGAAACTATTTTGAATTGTAGACATTGAGAAAGTTTGCTATAAGTTTTGTTTTTATGTTTTGTTGATCGTTTTTAACTGTGTAAACCATCCAAAAAACCATGTGGCTATTGTAGTGATCTATAAAAACACAAATAAATAAATCTTCCTCACCATTGCTCTGGTGCAACTTGAATAATACAGCATCTTACCTGGCTGATATCTGTCTAAGGAAGTATTTAATGAAAGGTAGTTATAGTGGGGCTACATAGAAATCTCCATGTAATATTTTATTAGCTTCACTATTTTATAACCCATTAATGAGACATTATCTGTTTAGTATGCAAAAATATTCAGACCACAAAATATATACAGAAAAGTACACAGATTAAAAACAAGGCAGCAAAAGATTAACTTGAAGTCTTTTTTAATCTACTGTTAAAAAGTCAAAGGGGATCTGAGTCCTGGAATCTGTTTTAGTTTCCCATGGAAGAAAAGCAATCTGTTTCAGAATTCCTTCACTATTTTGTTTACTTTAGCAACTTGTTTGTTTCAGTTTGCTGCATCTGATTTTCAGTACTGGTACAAAGAAAAACATTTTGGCAATTTTTGTTTACACTATTAGTAGTTAATCCAGGCATATTGACCAGGTTCTGTGATCTCCTTTTCTTCTGTGTTTGCATGTACAGAGAGAGACTTATAGATGGTCGCCAACTATAGGCCGGAGGCCAATATCCCATTTTTGGGCAAGGTGCTCGAGCAGGTGGTGGTGGGATAACTTCAGGCACTCTTGGAGGAAACTGATCATCTTGACCCACTTCAGTCTGGCTTCAGACCCAGCTTTGGAACTGAAACTGCCTTGGTCATCCTGTATGATGACCTGTGCAGGGAGAGGGACGGGGGAGTGTGTCCCTTTTGGTTCTCCTGGACCTCCCAGTGGCTTTCGATACGATCGACCATGGTATCCTTCTGGATAGGCTGGCTTGGTTGGGAGTTGGTGGCACTGCTTTGCAGTGGTTCCACTCCTACCTGTCTGGCCAATTCCTGAAGGTGGTGCTGGGGGATTGTGTCTCTGCGCCACGGCAACTTTGCCATGGAGTGCTGCAGGGTTCCATTTTATCCCCCATGCTTTTTAACATCTACAGAAAACCGCAGGGCTGCGGAGTCATCAGTATGCTGATGACACCCAACTCTACTTCTCTTTTACTTCTAGTCCAGGGAGGCAGTGGCTGTCCTTAGTGACTGGTTGAGATAATGAGGGCCTGGATGAGGGCCAGAGACTTAATCCAGATAAGATGGAGGTCCTTTTGGTGGGTGGTTCAGGTTTTCAGGTTGCACTCCCTCCAAAGGACAGGGTCCGCAGCCTAGGAGTGCTCCTTGACCCAGAGCTATCCCTGGAGTCCCAGGTGGCAGCGATGGTGAGGAGCACTTTCCTTCAGCTTCAGCTGATCCACCAACTGCATCCTTACCTGGATGAGCATTGCCTGGAAACAGTGACCCATGCTCCAGTAACTTCCCAGTTAGATTACTGTAATATGCTCTATGTGGGGCTGCCCTTGAAGATGGTCTGGATACTTCAATTGGTTTAGAATAGAGCTGCCAGGATGTTAATAGGAACCAACCATTTTTCACATAACACTGGTCCTCTACTGGTTATACTGGCTACCAATTGAAGTCCGGGCCCGATTTAAGGTGCTGGTTATGACCTATGAAGCCCTAAGCAGCTTGGGTTCAGGATACCAAGGAGTGCCTACATCTGCCCTCCCACCCCTTGAGATCTGAGGTGGAGACCCTGCTCTGGGAGCCCTCCTTGAAGGAGATTAGGAAGGAGAGTACCCAGAGGAGGGCCTTCTCTGCAGTGGCACCCAACTATGGAATACACTCCCTGGAGAGGCTCACCTGGCGCCAACGTTATATTCCTTTCAGCATCAGGCAAAACCCTTTTTATTTTCCCATTATTTTAATGTTTAATTGATTTTTTTCTGGGGTTTTAGCATATTAATGATTGGATGCTGTAGGGTTGTTCCATTTTATTTATTGTAAGCCATCTCAAGATATTCTGTAGGGGATGGGATAGAAATGCTTTTCAATAAATAAAATAAAATAGATAGATATGGGATTGTACAATCATGCCCCCTACTAAATGCACACCTTAACATGGTAAAGGAGTTTGAGAATGTCAGAGAAGCCAAGAGCAATGGCACCAGGAGGTCGGAGTCTCTCACTTGGTCTCCCAAGGTGAAATGGTCAAAGTTGAGACACTGGACAAAGATGCATCCATCCTCTTCAGAGTAACAGTTGCGTCAGCAGAAGCGAATGGGTCCTTCTCATGGAGATGGGGGTAGAGAAATTTCTGAAGGCAGCAGTGGAAGTTGAAAGTGACTTTCATAGAAAATGGCAGTGATATTTAATCTTACTCTGGTTAGTATGGTAAAAAAGAAGGCAGTGGTAAACCACTTCTGAATTTTCTTGCCTTGAAAATTCTTTGATGAAACAATCCAAAATGAAGCAAGAGACAGTGCCAGATGATGAGAATCTTGTGGTCAGGGTGGATTCATACAGCTAGTGCAACTACGTATAGCACTGTTGCCAATGACACAACTAGATAAAAGTTGAAAGGAAGTCTAATGGTGGACATGTTCAGAACTGACAAGAAAGCCCAAAGTGCACAATACGTACAATTGGAACACAAAATGTTAGAAGTGTGAATAGAGGCAAACTGGCAAATAGA